GAGGGAGGGGAAAAACGGAAGAGGGTGAGGAGATAAAAGGACGAGAGTCACCTCAGCAGCTCGTTCCTCGAGGAGGACTTGAGAGACATTGACCGAGTCCTGTTGCTCCTCCTGACCTCTCTCCTCGATCTTCTCTTCCTCATGAACCTCCTCGCGCACACTCAACGCTGGAGCTTCTTCCTCGACCTTGAGACAAGTCAACCTCGAGCTGAGGACAAGGGCCCGCCTCACAGGCTTCTCTCCGGCTCCTCCTGACGGTGCTGTGGGAGCGCTGGGAACCTTCCGGGCGTCAGGTACGGGCGCACAAATCCTTTCCTTGACTCACCTTCTCTTCCTCCTCCTCGGGAGAGGCTCCGCTCCTACCACCCTGCTTGTTCGCTTCGTCCTCATCTCGACGCTGAGGGAAGGGATCTACCTCCTCGCCTACCTTCTCCTTCTTCACCTTCACCTTCCCCTTCTCCTCCTCCTCCTCCTGCTGCTGCTGCTGCTGCTCCTCCTCCTCCTTCTCCTCCTCCTTCTCCTTCTCCTTCTCCTTTGTCTGCTTCTCCGTCGCCATCGCTGCTGTTGTCGTGTCGGACGTCACCTCCAAGTTCTCCTGGCCTTGAGCGATCTGCCAAGAGAAGCTAAGTGGTTCACTACTGGTTGGAAGGCTAGGAGCCGCACGTGATTTCCGATGGAATCAACTTGCTCGCCGACTTCAGTCTTGCCTCTGACCTGAGAGGAACGACCAAGTCAAGTCATCGACCCCGATCGCATCGCACACCCTCACCTCCTCCTCGCTCGCCGCAGCCCCCGCGCTCGCCTGGCTCTTGCTCTCTCCTTTCCCCGACTGACGGCGATCACGTCAGCGTCCCCTGCTAGACTCCGATGCCTTCACCTTGTGTTTTGCAGCCTTGCGCTCCTCCTCCTCCACTTCCGCCGCTCGCTCTGCTGCAATCGCTCGCTCCATCGCCTCGGCATCTGCCTTCTGCGGGAGGAATCAGGTGAGCAGGCGAGTCGGTTCATGGGGTATCATGTTACTTCTTTGCTCTCGCGCAACCTGCTAAGAGCGTGAGGGACTGCAGGCGAGCTGAAACAGAAATTCACAATCTTTCTTTCAGCGTCTCTTTCTTCGGAAGCGTATCAACATCACCAACCGCTTGCTCCTTTTCACGAAGAGCAGGAGCGACGGCATGCTTGTTGGGATTGCCGTTCTCTTTCTTGGCGTCTGCTCCGCCAGGTAGTTTCTTCTCCTGGAGGCACATGAAATAAGAAGCAGAATCATCGTGAACTAGGCAGGTCACGGAACACGTCCAAGCATTGATGCGAGTTTGAAGCGTTCAGAGACTTTCGTTTCCTAGTCTGCGTCCTCCTCGTCTTTCTTCTCCTTCACCTGATCCTTGCACTGCTTCTCGTTACATGTCGCTTCTCTCGAGAACACTCGATCAGAGTTCATCGACTCCAACCTATCTTCTTTCCCCTCCTTATTCATATCATATTCATTTGATGTCAGCAAGCTAGTTTCTTCACTACGTATTCATAATATTCCTCCTACCTTCACCATGAACGAACTACCTGTCGCGTACAAATGAAGACTGATGGGATCTCAAAACCAAGTACACTGATGGCATCTTGACATGTAACAGGCATTGTTCCTTCCATGTCCATGTACATGATCGTGTTCGAGGACAACATCTACACCATCATCTCTTCTCACCATCTTCGGCTCTTTCCTTCCTCCGCCATCGCCGACGGCCGAGCAGCATAAGTTTCCCATGACGTCAGAGCAACACACGGTTACGGCTCAGGGGGCATAAGAAACGGATGGCAGAGTTTGTCCGTTACCGATGCCGTTGAGCGGTTTCATAATGTAACGTATTCAGTGGGGGCCGATCAGGGGGCGCATGGTCAGGACAGCAGGAACGGACGAGAGGAGGAGGAGCAGGGAAGAGGGAGGGAAGAAAGACGAGGGGCTCTGCTGCCCCATCGAAGAAACTCATCTGAGCATGAAGGCAAGAATCAAGTCGAGGACGATGAGCATGCAGACTTCCTGCCATCGGAGTTCTCTCCTGTGCATCGTTGTCTTGCTGCCCTTGGCATCCGCTTTTGGGGTGGCTCATGTCCCTCTCAAGGCAGAAGGCAGCCTATCAAGACCTTGTGAGCTGCTTCCTCTCAAGATGCAGTCAGGCGGGCTATCGGACCCTGTAGCGCCGCCACCCGGGACAGGGACTAATGTACCAGACGATTTGATGACATTCAGCGCTAACCGCGAGAAACATAGGTTCTTGTCATCGGTGTCGCTGGAGGATCTGGTGGAGGAAAGAGTGTCTTCTGCACAAAGCTTGAGGCAATGGTACAAAGTATATGCCCGACCATTGTCCTGAGGTTGGAATATTGCTGCGCATGGATTCCTGTCATATGATGATTCGCAAGCAGCCATGACAGCTATTACAAAGACAAGCCCGATGTAGACAGAGACTGCGATGGAAACTGGGACTGTCCAGAGGTAAGATCACGGCAGTTTCATACAAGCTCTAACAGGAATTTCGTAGGCCCTTCACACAAATCAGTTAGTGGAGCACCTTGAGCTCCTTAAAAGTAGTTTTGAAACGTCATTTGCAACGTCTCTGAACCTCTTGTGATCAAGGAGGAGAAGAGGTGGATGTACCTATCTACGACTTTGCATCAAATTCCCGTGTGAAAGATTCTTCTGTGAAGCGAGTTTTCCCCGTGGGGTTGAAGGTTGGAATCTTGAATCTGTTTGTTGTCTGCAATAACGCACATGTTCGCAGGGAGTTCTTCTTGTGGAGGGCTTGATGGTGCTCAACGACGAGAAGTTGAGATCTCGGATGGACATTCGAGTCTATGTCGATTGTGACGAAGACACTCGTTTCATGTGCGTCTTGCTTGACAGGGTCCTCGTGGTGACGGTTCTGCTCAGGCGCAGACTTGCTCGGGACACGCACCCGCTAAAGGGACGAGGACGAACAGTTGCAGATGTCTACAATGCCTGGGCAAGGAATGTAAAGCCCAACCATCACCGATTCGTCGAACCAACCAAGCGCTTTGCTCACATGATCATCCCGTATGATGTCGTCGACATGTTTGCCTCGCTGATGTCTGATTGCAGTCACAATGGGATTTTTGCTGATCCTGGTCATCTCTTGGCAGTTGGGGAAGATCCAACCACTTTGTTGGATGCGTATGTAAATAGAGTTGCATCCGTGCATCAAGCGAAGATGAAATGTGAAATCGTTGTGGCGTGGGAGCGATTCTTGATAGCTGTTTATGCAGCACATCCAACAAGATCTGATGGGAGAGAACGAAAGGGGGAGGCACAAGCCGTCGCCCTTGAAGAGGTGCTTTGCTTCTTTGTGTGGCAAATGCTTGCTAATGTGTTCGTAAAGAAGGTTTCGCCAGCCCCAGAGGTAATTGATGAATTCTCGCTCGCTTAGTTCAGCTTGTTAATTTGTGTCCAAGATTGATCCTGACAGCATGGAGTCCTCCATGTGGCCGGCGCTGTACATGCTGCAGGTATACTGTCAGCATAATTACCTCGACGGTGATTTGGTTGAGTAGGCATACGTCAAGATTTTCAGCAGTTCGTGATCCATTTCAATACGATAACATAGACTAGACCTTTCGTTTGTTAAAGAAATGATGATGAAATCCATGGCAAGATCAGGGAGGTGAATCACATTGTTACAGCACAACGACCATATTCGCACAGGAAAGCGGGTAACCCGTTCCATTCGTTTTATTTTCATATAGTTACAACATACAGGTGGAATCCACCGTTCTCAACAGCACTTGACTAACTTAGGAGCTACACATTTCTCGTTCTCTAACTTGGCCGCGTTCTTCTCGAAAGCAGCAGCCTTACAAGTGTCCATAGCAGCACAGCAGTGTGTTTCAGGTAACCTGTGGCTCCCACAGAACTTGTGTTGGCAGTACTTGCAATCACCGATGATAGGAGCAACTTTCGACGTGCAACCTTCATGATTACATTTCTTTGCTCCACCACGGAGACGGAGCACAAGATGGAGAGTAGACTCCTTCTGGATGTTGTAGTCCGCAAGGGTGCGGCCGTCCTCGAGCTGCTTGCCCGCGAAGATGAGACGCTGCTGATCAGGGGGGATGCCCTCCTTGTCCTGGATCTTGCTCTTGACCATGTCGATGGTGTCGGACGACTCGACCTCGAGAGTGATGGTCTTGCCGGTGAGAGTCTTCACGAAGATCTGCATACCCCCACGGAGACGGAGCACAAGATGGAGAGTAGACTCCTTCTGGATGTTGTAGTCCGCAAGGGTGCGGCCGTCCTCGAGCTGCTTGCCCGCGAAGATGAGGCGCTGCTGATCAGGGGGGATGCCCTCCTTGTCCTGGATCTTGCTCTTGACCATGTCAATGGTGTCGGAGGATTCAACCTCAAGGGTGATGGTCTTGCCGAACTCGCTAGGACGAAGATCTGCATGTTTTGATTCTGTTGAGAATGGACTCAGAAGAAGTTTCGAAGAAGAAAGTGCCGGTGGGAGGGAGCAGAAGCGCAAGAAGCGAGCGGGTGGGACACGGAGGAGGGGGACGGAAACAATGCGTTTGATTTGTCGCCTCTCTGATTATATAGAGACAGACCCCTACCCCCACCCTGCGTTCTCCAAAGTGACCCCTACCCTTTCAAGGTTCGTGGTTATCTCATGTACCCACACGCAATGCCGCTACCAATTTAGTACCCTTCATCTTGGTACCCTACCCCAGACAATCCTCCAGGCCTACTTTTTCTACCCCATTGTTGGCTGAGGTACCGTACTTTGACCCATTCAAATCACGGGTACTGAACCTACTAGTGTCATTACCCACCATGTATATCTTGGACATGACCCCTTCATTTCTCGATTACCCCACCCCCACAAAATTTCTATCTTCTATCACCCCTTGCTGAACCCACGACCCATCAACCTTGTCTGACCCCTACCCACCGACGCCTCTTTTAACCCAAGATTTGAGCTGACATCACCCTACCTACCCCGATAAACCCACATACCCTGCCCGACTTCTCCTGATTGTGACCCTGTGAACGACACCTACGACTCATTGAATCCATCAGCCCATCCTGCTCAATTCATTAAGTGATTTCATAGTAAAACAAGCCTATCCAGTTCACTTGCCCTTCAGCTGATCTCCTGGACTCATGATTGAAGGACCCTACCTCAGCAATACCCCATGTAGTACCCTAACCTTTGGAGAGATCAAACTTGACTCTTTGATCCACCCCACCCATGTAGCCTTTTAATGAAACCGCAGCCTTCTTGATCACCCCTACCCCCTGTGATCAATAGAACCCACCCTACAGTGTAGCCCTAACAACAGCTGCGATCAACGCTCCTGACCCTCACCGAGTGATCTATACCCTATTTATTGTGGTCAAAATGACGGGTAAAAGTTGACCATGCAAGGAAGTCAACCCGTGATTGAGCTCGAGGCATTGAGGCCACCCCTCAGGGAAATACCTGGACCCCTGGTGATTAACCCCTCCGGGTCGGGGGGCCGTCCCGTGGGGGGTCCGAGGAACGAAGGGATGCATTTTTAATATTCGTTCTGAATGTAGGGCTAAACATAGCAAACATCACTACCAAAAGCATTGTTCTGGTACCAAATATGGTCTAAAATTAAAGATCCAGTGACCTACCATGCCTAAATCGGGCCAAAGGACCCGTGTTGGCTCCTTGCATGCCACCGCCTCTTTGTAACCTTAAAACCCTCAACGCTTCAAGAACCCACCCCCTCTAATCTATGAATACTACCCCCTGATATCGGCATGACAGATCTGAAGTCGCACATCCGCCCCTGCATCCGCCCCAATTGGATTGTCGATATAAGCCTTTTATATATTTTTGTTATAATTCTTGACTGTTTTGTTATAATTCTTGACGTTTTTCTGAACTTTATCATAATCGTAAACATTCCAGTGAAAGGAATCTGCTGTCTTTTTGATCATGGAGTTTGTTGTCCTGAGGCCGACTTGAAATGATATTTCAGAAGCCCAGGGCGAACTGTCCATGAACGCACGTGAAGATGGCGGTAAGGGCGGGGGAGGGGAAGAGAAAAATGCGAACAGACTCCAGGAAACACAAGCAGGCAGGCAGGCAGGCAGGCAGAGAAAGTTGAGAAAGTTGTTTGCGATTGATGTTGATAACAAAGTACTGAATAGGTAAAAAGAAAATGATAGGGCGGGGGAAGCTTGTACGAATTGATGTTGACCTGCCAACACCTCACTGCTGGTCGTTTCCGCTGCTTCCCAAGCAAACAGGTAATGACGAGAAAGAAAATCGTTTAGGTCAAGGGATTCTGTGACTTGGGATCTAGCATATGGCGGCATGGGATTTGCCAGGGACTCTGAGTGGCTTTCCCTGAGAGATGAAGATTTCATGGAGAAGTTCACTGTACTGTACGAGGCGCATGTAGATTTTGGCTCAACCGGTTGCGCTTCATGTTTATTCGCCATTCTGCTGTCTTCCTTAACTTCGCGCAGGAAAGGCGTTCTTAAAGGGAATGAAGAGGGAAAGGGACAAGGATATGCTGTAAAAATGAAATGTGCTCGAAAAACAAATGTAACTGTGACTGGATCAGGTGGAGACAGAAATTGAAGGAAAAAATGTCTCAAAACTCTCAGGAAAATTCAAATAAGAAAGAGAGAAGTTTGTCGCTACAAAGTGAACCTGGAGATTCGGTCATGAAGACTACAAACTTCAAGGCATGCTGTCCGTTTGTTACTTATCTCTTTGACAAAGAAGTCGTCATCAGAAAGCAGCAACTGCTAAACAAAGAGTGAAAGAGAGAAGGGCAAAGCTTCTCACTGATCAACGAAAGGAAATATCTCCTTCCAAGTTGTTTGCCAGCCTTGTCTGACGAGTTAGCAGGCGATTCCTAAGATTGCAGTCGATACCAATCTTCAAACGTCCGCTGTGCAGGTATTGCTCCTGTGCCTTCTCCCACCTTGGATGTCATTTGGTGATTACTACAAGGCTTATCGGCTGCTCAAGAAGAAACAGCAAGAGCAGGCCAAGCAAACAGCAAGCAAAATTTTTCAAATGCCTGGACCAGGAATTCCAGAGAAAAAAAAGAGAAAATAGCAAGTTTATTGACAATTGTCAACAATTAAATTGTCAACCAATATTAGATCAAAAGCTTGGAAAAAACAACAAAAACAAAAAGCACAGAATGATACAGCGAGCGTAACAACGCATTGCATGCCTAGTCGAACTCTTCGAAAACGATCGAGAAGATCTCAACTAAGAAGTTTCCTGTTCTCAACATCTATCCTCTCCCGTATCAGCGCCAAAACTTTCTCAAAATCGTCGGAGCAGGGAGTGAGTCCAGATGCAAAGGGACTCTTACCCGAATGTATAACAATTCCTTTCCTTCGCTGCTTCGCCATCGCTCGACATAAGCCATCAAAATGCCACCATACGCGGCAGTCTGCTCCCATGCCCCATGCTTTTGTGTTCCAGAACTTGAGGTTTATAATATCAACATCCTTGATGTCCCAAAACTTAATGGTCTTAGCAGTACCCATCGGGAAATAGTAAGTCTTGAGCTTGATGTAACTTTCGGTGATCTCAATGTTTCCCCTTGAGTACAGAACCTTTTCACAAGAACTTTTCATCAGGGGGCTTTTGGCCCCGGTCTCTCTGCTTCTGCATCCACAATCCAGCATCGAATACGCCAATGGGTTCATGATCTGTCTACGTTGCAACAGTGATGAGCACGAACTTCTGTAATCTGTTAGCCAGTCACGTCAATTTATCCTCCACACCGAATGTTTCGTAAGTTGATAATTGTTCCTGTTTCTGTCTTTCTTCTCTTTCTCAGTCGGTCATCTTCTCTCCGCTACCGCACTCGTCACTCCTCCACGTCTGACATACTACTGGGGTACAGGAAAAGTCCGTTTTGGTTAAGAGAAGAGGGTGGACGAGGGCTTGGTAGGGTCCCCTGTGGAGAAAGGGTGGGTGTAGATTATATAATTCATTGGGGTGGTTTCGTTGAAGGGTATACTGAGTACCGGGTCCTTGTTCTACAACCGACAAGGAAACTCTGGGGTGCAAGATACAACCAGGAGAATGTGCCAGGAATTGAACTAATAGCTTGTCGGGAAAAGGGGGTGGGGGATGCTTTTGGAAACGGTGGGGGTACACAAAAGGTCGCTGGGACAGGGGTGGTTGGTAAGAGGGCGAAGAGATTGTAGGGAGTGGTAGGGTAGTCAATAGGTAGGTAGGGTAATGGGGATGGAGGGGGTTTGGGTAGAAGTCCCTTGAAGGTCATGGGTGGGTGAAGCATGTGTGGAGAAGCAAGTGGTAGTGAAGGAGGTTCAAAAGGGGGGTCCTGAATGAGGAAAGGTATACAACCATGGGTATTCTAGTATGACATCCTTTCGCAAAGGGGTGGGGGTTGCTGTAGCCACTGGTGCTAGTTGAGGGTACCCCTCAAGGGTCGTCCAGGGATAGGGAGAAAGCAGAGGCCAACGAGGATTCACAGAAACAAATATTATTAGGTCTTGTACTAGATATGAATTAAAATAATTTATTTTTGTTACCACCTTAGCAACTGGTTGTACCAGAAATACAATCTTGTTTGCACCTGTACCAGGGTCAGGGTGTATCCGGCAGAATGGATGTCCCCTGAAAACTAATTAAAACTAAAGAAGTCCCTAAAAGTTTTACCCAGTACAAACGACTGAGCCTTTTGTACCCGAATGGAGGAGTTTGTAAAATTGCAATTTTTAGAGGTTTGCACATCCATCTTTGGCAGCCAGAAAATGGATGCTTCAATTGTCATCCTTAATTGAAATTTCAGAAGCAATATTCGAAATATCACCTGAAAATTGAGAGGTGCATAGCAAAAAAGAAAAATAACCAACTCCTTGACGAAGTTGGTGGTGCGAGGGATCGGAAAATGAGGGTGGGGTGAGAGAAATAGGGGTGGGGGACGATGGAAATAGGGGTGTGCAAGACAATGATGACAATATAAGGGGTGGTTTTATCAGTAAAAAGACTTGAAAAGGGGGTGGTGTCGAAAAGAAGAGATCATAGGTGTTAAAATCGGGGGTGGGGGTGAAGAATGGGGCATCGGGATTTCAAAAAAGAGTGAGTAGGGTGGGAGGTGCCAAGTGTATTTGTACCGTAGCAAGCGATCACGTGGTATGGACGTGCCCCATTAGCACAGTCGGCCAGTGCATCGGTCTTATGAGCCGAAGGTCACGGGTTCAAGTCCCGTATGGGGCATCTTGCCCCATATCACGTCCGAGTTTATTTTACTATGCAACAAACTCGCTAGGAGAGGCCACCGAAAATGATTTGTGTGTGAATGAGACGATTGTCGTTTTTTAAGTTTGCATATTTTTTCTTGTTTTATATCTTCCACGATGCCTCTTCTTGTATACACTCACCTCTGTTGCAGCTTTAAATTTCCCTATAGCCCCACGCTGCACCGTACACGACATCATGCCGCGTTGTTGTTTCAAGTGCCGCTCAGTTGAAATAGCCCTGGGCTGAATTCGCCGGGGTTGCTGACCGGGACCTTTGACAACAGTGACTGATATCTTACTCATTCTGACACCGTGAGCATCATGAGCAAGAGAAAGACCAACTCACGTTCGAACAAATAAGTGAGTTGACCACTGACGTGACTCAGGCATTCCACTACTGAGTCCCAGGTGACATCATGACAATAATACGTGACCCGGCGTTAGAGCCATCACACCCTCAAAACCTTGCGGCGTCTTTAACATCGAGACGTCCCTCCATGTGCGAGTCGGAACTTGTACGCGAAATAACTTTCATAAGGCTGCCAGAACAAGCATCACTAAGCTCATGAAATCCACAAGAAGTAGCGATTAACCCTCACCTGCTGCTCTTGGCAGGGGTTGGCTGCTCGCGCAATCTGCAAGGTCACGTCAGCACCCACATGAAAAGGCGAATGTTCAATAACCTGCCATCGTTCTCGATGACCAGGAACCGTTTGGTGCGAGTCCATCATGGCGTTTCTTAGATTAGCCATGGCCTCAGATTTTTCTTTGGCATCCACAACTCCATCTTCCATTGCTCCAGCCGCTTTCACAGAATTCACAACATTCTCAACTCCGAGAGGCTCCTGACTTCCAGCAGCTAACCAAGCTTCATCCAACCCCCTGGAAGTCTGCGCATGCTTCGAGGTCGCGACCTTCCTTGTTAGCTGCAACGGCAGCTTATTTCTGCCTCCTGTCTTGCCCATTCCTACAGCAGCTGGCTTGTCGGGGCTGAATTTGAGCTCAGGGATTCCATTATAATTCTCTAAACTGCTAGCCAGCTTCGTCTCCATCGCCTGCTTGTGTCCATTCGCCTGGAGCGGCCAGTACTCGTTAACCGTGTACCCTTCACGGTTGTAAGCATCAGGATGCACAAAGTAACCGTTGGCATCAATTCCTTCAAGGGGGACAGCGATGTCATCAAAACTTTGGTACAAGCGATTGTTAGTGTAGACTCCATGCTCTTCAAGTTTGTCTTTTTTGCCCAATGGCACATCGTGGGCAACATCGCGGTATCCCACATTGACCCCCTTCTTCGACAGAACATCAGATGCCAGAGACGTGACCCTGGCTTTCTTTTGGAACATATCTTTTGGGATTCCGTCCACGAGATTTTTCGGTTCAGGAAACTTCTGATATGTCGACTTCTTGGTAATCTGAGTTTCCTTTCCTGGTATGCGACCAGTGTTCACCGCAGGAGTATGAAACAGTTCGCTGTTGAGTGACTGCTCTATTTCTGCACGAGTCTGAACATGATCTTTCATGTGTGGGATCGGAGGAATTGGGGATGACATTACGGCATACCTTGCCCTGTGACTAGCCTTATCCTGGTCCGAAAGTTGCAGCATATCCGCGCCTGGCCTCTTCACGTGTCCAAAGTGAATCTCCTGATCTGAGTTGGCCTTCATGCCATGCAGCATCGATGCCATGTAAGCAGCTGCCGGATGGAATCCAGGTGCAATCGTCAACTTGGATTCTCTGGACGCCATCCTGCTTGCAACTAAATTCACCAAAAGCACGCAAGCACCGCCAACAAAGAATGAGAATGTGAAGGACTTCATGCCCAACCGCCTCCTAAACATGATCCAGCTCTGAGAAAATTTCTTCCTTTTCGTGATGCGACTGCCACTGAAGAAATGATTCAGCAACTGTGAGAAACGAGAAGAAAGGAAGAGGAAAGAAATGGCAAAATCATGTGGAGCAAGGTGCAGGAAAAGGCGGAATCGAATGAATTGAGAAGTTAAAACAAGTGGAAGAGGGAGGAGGAAGAGGAAGAGGAAGAGGAAGAGGAGAGACGAAGAAGAAGAAGAAGAAGAAGGAAAATCAAGACAGGACGAGGGGGGGTGTCACCGGATTCGATCAGATTAGATCTGCCATGGCGACCCTTCACGACACGTTACAAAATCGGTTTTTGGCTACACAACACAACTTCGCGAGCGGCGGCTGGCCGGGCCCGGCGCCACCCGGGCCCGGGTGACCGTACCGTGGCGGCCCGGCCGGCCCGGCCGGCCGCGGCTGGAAGAGTCGCTGCCTCAGCACTGCGGCACTGACTCGGAGGTGGTGCCAGGCACCGCCCGGCCACCGTGACGGTCCGATCGCCCCAACTGAGTCCGGGCCGCCCGCCCGCCCGCGGCGCGCCGACGGTCCGATCGGATGGCCCCAGTGGTCCCGGCCGATCATGGCATCCATGATGGCTCCGAGTCGGATCGGAAGTTCCGAAGTTCGGCCATCATGCCGCCCTCAGCAGTGCCGGGCCCGGCACCAGTCACTGGCCGCGGCCATCATCGGATTCGGTGCGGCCAGGAGTGGCCGCAACGGCACGGCGGCACGTTAACGAGCCTCCGAGCCTCCGTCCCACCGCCAGAGGTGCCTGGCACTGCGGCACGCGCATGGAAACTTGCCAGGCTCGAACTTGTGACAAGAAGACCGTACACTCTGAGGAGAGACTGCGGCACTCCAACCCCGGCGGGCCGCGGGCGTTCAACGGTTTGAACCGTGACTTCACAGTCCGAGCAGTCGGACCGTCCGACAGTCACGCCGCCGGTGACTCTCAGTCTCGTACAATAATCACGGCAGTTGACATCGCGGCATAAGATTGTTCTTTCCAGACCATCAAGACTCGGCGGTAAGAGGAAACTCTCAGTGATTGAAGTTGATCTTCAGATGCCGCGTGACACGGACTCCCAAGGAAGAGTCAAGCATTCATGGTTTATTACAAGAAGTATACAAACCGTGAACCGAGAGAACTGTAAAAATTTCATAGATTTGTACAGAGTCTATGTGATGAGACGGTAACAAACGGATTTGTCGCAAAGTTTGCATTCTACGTCAAATCAGGTTTGATTTAGATCAGTCTCGCAAAGGATCTGGAGGAATAAACGAGATATTCCTTGCCTTAATAATAGTATGTGTTAGGGCTTCTGTATGTGTCATACGCACCACCATATCCAGTACCGAAGTCATTGAACGGATAAGCTTTCAAAGGATCTCCACCCACCACCACTGAAGGCTCCTCGTCGGCGTATCGCGGCCATCCGCCAGGGTAGAGATCTCTCACGTATCTTGCAGCAGGAGATGCGTCCCAAGCATTCGGGTAGTTATCAAATCTATCATAGAAAGAGCCGTTCACATCCATGGTTTCAGGGTCATACTGAATTGAGCATCCCCTCCATGACACGCAGTCAGCGAGCATCGAACGTCTGGCGCCGATTACTCTCCTCTTCTGCAAGAGCAGGCTTGGTTGATGTCGAGATCGCTGAGCAACGGACAGCACAGTTTTCCTTGAAGAAAATGCCAGCAGGGTCAACCCCAAAGTCATGAACAGCGCGCACATGCCAGCAGCTCCCGCCGCCATCCCTGCTCTGTTGAACTGCATGAAGCCTGAAGAGCCGCCAGGTTTGACGGTTACGGATAACCGATATGGACATGGACCACTTCCCCACTATGACCAAGTTAGTCATGCGTGCGTGGGGATGTGGTCACCGTTTCGCCATGGAGACAAAGAGGGGGCAGTGAAGTCATAGCAGAAGAGGAGCGAGCGATCATGGAGTCCTCGAGTGCTGCCAGGAAGCGAACGCTCTCCCTGACTCCTTGCTTGCTTTCCTTCCTCTTCACTGTGTCATCCCACTGCCATGTTCGAACCTCCAGTGATCTGGCTTTTACCTCGCCCTGGCTCCGAACGAGCCCATCGAGCCCAGCTCCTTTCAGAGCCTCAACTTGCTCCTCCTTGCGAACAGAAAGACAGATTTTCCGGCTGCAGATGTCTAAAAAGAGAGGGAAGAAAATGCAGAAAGTGCGAATAGACGACCTGTTGGTTGAGCGCGGCTTAGCCTTGCACACGAAAGAGGTTCGTCAAAAGCGATCTCTCGATAAAACGACACTGATGTGAGCATAGGCGATGGCCCTTGTCTTGAAGAAGCTGGTGGTAGTTGAGGAAGGGAAAATTCCTGTCGATTCTGTGAGTACTCTGATTCCATCCGACGCAAATGTGCGCGTCAAAGGACGGCATGTGCCTGTAGAGGAGCGAGCAAACATGGAGCAAGAAGCTGGCTTTGTGCTTGGAGAGGAGATGGAGGGTCTTGTTGTGGCGCATCATGGCAGTCGGGTGCTTGTGCAAGTGGAAGAGCAATCGAAGGAGTTGTTGACCAAACTTGAAGAACCTGCCGCACACATCAACACTCATGACGTTCGAAGTTTGCGGTACAGCTGTGCGTTGAATCCCTCCCTGAAAGAGATCGGCGTTGTGACCGGCGACCGCGTAAACCCATTGCAAACTTGCATGCTGCCTTGGCTTGGCCACTCCCTGACCGACAAGAATGTCTTTGCAGGTTGTCTTTGCTCCGGCGTTGGGAGGAGATATGACAACCTCGGAAAGATCTTTTGCCAGAGGAGTTGTGAGCAAGCGGCTCGAGAGAACGTGTGTCGCGAAGCAGCACAAGAATGTCATCTGACTGCGACCATCAGAACCGTTCTGGATCGCCCGTCGAAGTCGATCTCGGAGTTAAACGTCAATGACCTTCAGGTGTTGGTCCCGGGCTATTTCCTCGCTTGACTGAGCGGACTATTGCAGACTGTAGGTGCTGAAAAGGTGCTGGAGAGGACTGGCTCACGAAAAGTTCTCTGTGCGAACCTTGATCAAGTGCGGAGAAACGGGAGAGGGTTGAAGAGCTTTGACCTGGACTTTTTCCTTCAGGTCGTGCTCGTGTTCGCTTCTTCGCCGCCTTCTCCTCTGCTTCAGTTGGATAAATATCTGGTGAGGAGTCATACGGTGTCAGGGCAGAACGCGTTCAACAACGTCTCACGTCAGCTGCTGGTTGTCCAGGTCGCCAGCTCTGCCTGCAAGTTATCTCAGATCATCCTCTTCAATAAGTGTGACATGCTGGAGGATGACGATGCCAACCTCAACGCACAGGAGCGGTCAGTTGCATCACGAGCGGCCTGTCGGTATAGCAGAAGTCTGAGACATGTCGGGCAGGAATCAGCTGGTGAGTGCGGAGACTCTCAAGGTCTACCAAAGGCTCGGCTATCCAGGCGATCCATCGAGATTGTCGACATGCCTGACTCGCTTGCTCAGTCATCATGACGTCGACTAGGACCGGACAAGTTGGCGCTGATGACATTGCGGACGTTGACTGAAGTCACTGGTAGGGGCTCGAGGAGCTCAAGTCACTGTTGCACAACAAGACGAGCATCCTGGTCCCTATCGCAGGCTTCTCCCATTCCTGAGCGTGAGGGTGCAGGTCGGTCAGTCGGGAGTCGGCAAGTCTTCGCTCCTCAACGCTCTGCTTCCTCAAGCCAATGCAAGAGTCGGTGCTCTCTCGGAGGTGAGGTCCTTGCGGTGAAGGGCAGCGAGGCATCGAGGAGGAGGAGGACAAAGATGGGGGAGAGAAAGATTCAGCGAAGGTGAAATGTGATGCTGAAAAGATATTCATTGTGTTCATAGTGGTCGGGGCTGGGAGCTCACACGACGTCTCATGCTGAGCTTCACTTTCTTCCTTCTGGTGGAAATCTCATCGACTGTGCTGGGTTCCGAGACTTTGCTACTTGGCACCTGACGCTGGTGAGCACAGGAAGATTTGGGGGGGGGACATGTCTGATCAGCGTTGGGCAGGAGGAGGTGCAGCAAGGCTTCAGGGAGATCTCTCAAGCTGCTCTCGACTGCAAGTTCAGAGATTGCTCGCACATGTGATGCATCAGTGACTGCTTCCTGCTCTGACACCCCTGCAGTTCGGAGCCAGCAGAAGTCTGCGGGGTCAAGCGAGCACTGGAGGAAGGAAAGATTGAGACCAGCCGTATGATGAACTTTCGCTACATTATGAACGAGGTCACAGCGTGATCGGCGCTTCGCAATATGACGAAGCGTGAAAGCCGGGCGGCTAAACTGCCAAGGCTAAACCGTACTTTGAAGATCTTTACTCAAAGTTAAGTTAAAAATCAGTACGCAGCGATCTACGTCATGCCTCACTGTCCCTACTCCGCCGTGCCCGACCCGGCCTGTATCCCTGGGTTTACGGGCTTCTCCTGCTACCCTTACTGCATGGGCATCCACCTGAAGGGGAGCATCAATCAGGGCATCGTCCTGTACGGAGCCAACGACTGGAGGGACTCGGTCCAGTATATCCTCAGGGATTGCGGCGTCGGGCAGTCCACCGCGGGAGGGCTGGTTGCAGGGCTGCAGAGCAATGCGAATGCCCGCTTCACGGTGCCCGAGGCGGCGTCGTCTACACCGCCGCGTCGCAGGCCTCCTGGGACCCGGCAAGCCAGAGCTGTGTGAACAGTGGCGGGGGACGTGGTGCTGACGGCCTATGAGGACGGGCTCGGGAAGTGGAAGGTGAAGATCTCGAGGATCTTCGGGGAGGACCTCTTCACCTTCCGTCTCATCGATCTCCCGGGCCTCATCCCCGCTCATGACATCTGCCTGCCAGGCTCGAAGAGCTGCGAGTCCCAGACACAGCCGGGTGAGATCGGCCCGGGGTGCCCTACGCTTACCAGGACTACCCCGAGATCTACAACCCCGCGACCACCAGCGAGTGGGCGGTGTTCTACGCCACCAACCCGAACCCGGAGGTGTACCAGGCGTATTCGCAGTACTGCGCCGGGGAGCCGAGCAACTTCCGTTCTCCATCGTGATCGGCTCGGACTCGAGCTACGGCAGGGTGAGGGTCTGGAAGATGAACGCCTTCGCGCTGGACCAGAGCCAGACCACGGCGGCCAACGTGATGACATGGACCTTCGAGGGCTTCAGCGGCGACCAGACCCTGCAAAACTCAGTGACTGGCAAGGGCCCCGGCGTTCAATGTTGCCTACTGAAATGACAGTGTGCTGCCGCGCCGCTACCGGTGTAGTCCGATGACGGGCCCCGGCCCCTGGCCCGTTGCGGCCTGAGTCGCCGAGTCGAGTGGCCAGTGACTCACTCACCTGCCACCGACTCCCGCCGCCGGGAGCGCCGCGGGCGCTCGCCGCCGGGCGGCCCCCGCGGCAAACTTTGAAACTTGAAGTTGGGGACGTGAGGTGACCACAATGATGGGTGACCAGAAACTTCCATGGCAATGGTGAAGATGGCGCGGTGCGCAGCAGCGATGAAGGGGGCGCTGGTAGCGGATGCGGCATCCATGGGGCTTCACTGGATCTACGATCCCGAAAAGATCATCTCCCTCACTCGCAAGGCTCCTCTCTGCCCCAAGGACCCTGCATTCTTCGAGCCTCCTAGCTGCCCTTTCTATTCCTACGAATCCGGTCAGCTCAGTCCCTATGGTGCTGAAGGGCTCGGCATGCTAAAGAGCCTCAACTGCCTCGCACAATATGATCCTACACGCCTTGCGCAGAAGTTCTCAGAGTATCTCAAGGGATACTCAGGGAGGCTCAACCATGCTTCCAAGGAGCTGATCGCAAATATCGATGCCGGCAAGACTTTCCCTGAGTGCGGAGCGAACGACTCTCAAGCCAACTCGCTGGTCAAGGTTCCCTTTGCTCTTTCGCGCTTTCATTCGGACCAGGACTGGGCTACAAGGGTGGAGGAGACCATGAGAGTGCATCAGAACCATGAGCTTGCAGTTGAGTACGGGATGGCAAGCTCGCACATCCTTCACCACATAATCTCTACCGGAGCAACAGCGAAGGAGGCGCTTCAGTGGTCCACGCAGGATTCTTCTCCCCTCACTGCAGATGCCAAGAGCAAGGTCAAGGAAGCTCTTGCCTTCACCGGCAACGAAGTGGAAGCAGCAGAAGCCTTCGGCAGCAGCTGCGCGTTGCCAGGAGCGTTCACGGTTGCGGTTTACATTCTGAATACGACAGAGACATATGAGGAGGCAGTGAAAAAGAACATCATGGCCTCAGGCGATCAATGCTCACGTTCGTGCTTCATTGGCGCTTGCTTGGCCGCTAGCCAGGGAGCTGAGTGTGTGCCCATGGATTGGATCGAGCGAGTGACGGACATGGAAGACATCGACAAAGAAATCAAACGTGTTTGCTCCTGAATAGCAACAAGCAAACTGTAATTCATGCCTAGCTACAGTTACATCGAGCCATGTCAGGGAACAAGCGAGCAGTGTTCAAGGTTTCAGTGTGTAGGTGGAATCGCATAGAGATCTCTCTGTGATAATCTCACGTTTCAGTATCGACTAAGTGCTTGTGTAGCCTTCAGTATCCCTCCTTGCCTGTGGGAACGCCCTCGACCTGCCGGGCTTCCATGTCATGCTCCTCTTCCCTCTCGGCATCATCTCACATTGTAGTTCTCCCACGTCCCCCAGCTGACAGGAACCCAAGTCGTTCCGTGATGTCCGATGGGCTCCTTGGCCACCTGCTTGCATCATCAGTCGGGTCGCGAACTCAAGCGCCTCGAGCACCGAAGGGTCGGTGATGTAGCAGCCCCAGGGATCGTCACAAGCCCCCCAAGTGCCGTCGACCGCGTTTAGGGAGAAAAATTGATTGGGAAGGCTGCAGACCAAGAAAGTCACGCAAGAACGAGAAGTTGTCAACATTCATGCATCGAGTTCACCTAAAGATTCTGCCAATCATGCTTTCTGTAACAAGGAATTAGTCAGAAAGGCAAAGAAGATACATTGTAGGCATGTTGGGACAGCAACCGTAATACAATTTCGATAGCAATCAGGTCAAACCATTCTAGGATATTGCTGTTGAAAGCAGTGGGAAAAACAAAATATTCAAAAACAATCAGCATCTGGACTGAGGATGAAAAGGGGGCATGTGAATTCTGCAGGCAAAGAACTGGTTGTTCAAAGCATTGCCCTGAAAAGTATGGTTTCAATGTCCTGCCATTCGTTCCAAAGCTCCCACTCTCCTCTCCTTCGCTGTGCCTGAGCTGTTACCGTCAAAGGTGCTACTCGCCTAGCCTGGTGGTATCTTGTACCCTCTGCTCCACCTCCTCTTCTTCCATCACATCTCCCACATAGCTGCCTCTTCGCATTCCATTTCCCCTTCCCTGTACATAGGAGGGTAGGGGTATTCAAGCCAGTGGGGTAGGGGTAGGGGTAGGGGTAGGGTAGGGGTGACCACCCTAGGTAGAAAGATAATAATAAAAGCCTATCATATACACCGGTGGGATCAACCAATACACCTCCAGGTGTTCATATTGAAAGTATCCCTATACATTTCAATGCTGGTGGTAAAATTTCAAAACTTTTACGACCTCCACACGTACAAAGAACTGCCGCAAGTTGGCACGATGGCGCAAGAGGAAGGGGGAGAAGTAGAGAGGAGGAGCGAAGAGAAGACCAACAAGCAGTTGTTCTTGAGACTCCTGAACTTCATTTCTAACGATGACAAGAAGACGTTGGCTATAGCGTGCATCGCAATGTCGCTCACCTCTGTCAATAATCTTGCCTTCCCGAAGATCATATCCAACTTGATCGATAGCATGTCAAACAGCTCCAACACTCAAGCCAAACGAAAACTAGTCGTCTCATCGCTCATCATGTTTGCAGTTGGTGCAGTTGGGTCATGGCTGAGGACTTATCTGTTTACAATCGCTTCAGACTCTGTGTCCAAAAGGCTTCGCGTCGAGCTCTTCAAGGCGATACTGAAGCAAGAATCGGGTTTCTTCGATCAGACACCGGTGCAAGACATGCAGTGTAGAATGACCGATGATGTTCAAGCCATGGCAAATGCGACGACAAGCAACTTCGCCAAGGTGTACAGGTACACGAACTCAGCTCTAGGTGGCTCGATCATGCTTTTCTCTATCTCACCTCGGCTTACGGTTGCGACACTGGGAGTAGTTCCTCTTGTCGGGGTCACGGGGATGCTCTATGGCATGAGAGCCAAGAAGATGTCCAAGAAGATGAAGGAAAACATCTCCCGCATCGCAAGCTCGGTGGACGAAAAGCTGGCCAACATAAGGACTGTCAGACTTTTTTCAATGGAGGATTATGAGGGCGAAGAGTATGCAAACTTGTTGAACTCGACCCAAGAAGACGTGAAGCATGCTGCTCATGCAGAAGGCTTGTTTCTAGGCGGTCTTGCATTTGGGGGCTTCACCTCCTTGCTTGGTGTCTTGTACTACGGAGGGACTCTTGTTGAAAGGAACCTAATCACTGTCGGGGCCTTAACCTCCTTTGCCATGTACAGTGCGACCGTCGGCCTAGGATTCTCAGGATTATCTCAGGTGTGTCAACAATCCCATGCTCGCATGCCTGTGTGAGAGTGACTTGCGCGTTAGGTGTACGCTGAAACCCTCAAGGCCTTGAGTAGCGCTCAAGTGAGTGTCTCTGTGTCTGAGCGTGACTCGATCCGCTCCCTCTGACTTGAAGTTCTTCTTCACCCCTCAGCTGTTAATGTTGCTCCATGCCAAATAGATGGACAGCTACTGACATAAAGATGTGTGCGCAGAGGGTCTTCGAGATTCTAGATCGAAAGCCTTCAGTGAATCAGGACGATGGCAGAGTCCTAGACAGCATTGAAGGAAATATAGAAGTGTGCAATGTTTGCTTTGCCTATCCATCACGACCAGATGCGTTGGTTCTCTCTGGCGTTACTATTCAACTTCATAAGGTGAGCCGCCACGGTTGAGATCAGGCACGTGAGCTGACTTACTCACGTCAGGGAGAGACGTTGGCGTTGACAGGTCCGAGTGGTGGCGGGAAGAGTACCATAGCTGCGTTGATCACGAGGTTGTACGAGCCGTCGAGTGGGAAGGTAACATGGATGCTGCTCGACATGGTCTGAGTAGACTCTTGTGCAGATATTGTTAGACGGAATCAACATGTCTACACTCTCTGCTTCATGGATACGGAAGCAGATTGCTGTTGTCAACCAAGATCCGATCCTATTCTCGGATACCATTGAAGCTAACATTGCCTACGGCCGCCCGCATGCCAAACGGTCCATTTCAGAGTTTGCAACTGTAGATATTCAAGATGCTGCGAGAAGGGCCAACGCCTTGTCCTTCATCGGTGATCCTGACCATGTGCCTGCTTCTGCTCTCTGCTCACCGCGTTACAGTCGATCTGCCCGACGGGTTCCAAACGCAAGTTGGGGAGCGCGGGAGCCTGCTTTCGGGAGGGCAGAGGCAGCGAATAGCGATTGCCAGGGCGATGATTCGAGACCCTAAAATCCTGATCTTGGATGAAGCAACCAGTGCGCTAGACAATGCAAGCGAGCAGCTGGTGCAGTGCAAGGCTGAGGGTCTTGTGGGACTGAAGGAGCTGCGGCAGGTGAAAGAAGCCTTAGAACGTCTGATGGAGGGTCGTAGCACGCTCTTGATCGCCCACAGAACTTCGACTGTAAGTGCACCGACTGCTCCCAGGGAGACCTGACGCTCGATCAGCTCGCAGGCTCGCAGAGGATCGCTGTAATCGACGGAGGAAGGATTGTCGAAGAGGGACACTACGATGACTTGATTTCCAAACGGGACAGTATTTTCTCGCATCTTATTCAGTCTCTACCATGCTGAGAATAAACTGAGTGAGCTGCCGCTGCCGCATGCGGTTGATCGAAGTGACATCAAGTTGATCAGCTCAGTTGTCACGTTGCTTCACGATCCTGACAGTGAGTGCCATTGAGGCTGGGCTGGTTCGCATACCCGGGACTCAACTTGTCACTGAAGAGTACGGTCGGCGGCGATCGGCGAGCCCGGCGGCGGCGGGCAGTGACGGCCCGGCCGTACTGAGTCCCGGGCCGGCGGAGGTACTAGTCACTTCCGCTGAGCGTGACGGTGCCCGGCCGCGCCATCATACAGTGACTCTTTTAGTAAAGAGACAGTGACTTGAACCGTGACTCAGTGACTCCGCGCCCGGGCCGCGGGCCGGGCCGGGCCGCCTCCGAGCGAGCCTGTGACGGACTTTGAGTAAAAGGACAGGCTGTGGCCCGGCGTGGCCCTCAGATGTGATTCTTGTGATCGCCCGACAGGACAAGCTCGAGGAGGAGTGGCAAGGCAGGGGGGAGATGGCAGGAGACGAGGAGGGAGCGAGGTAGCTGCTTCACGTGGTTCCCCTGCTTTGAAGATGCAGGCAAGAGCTCGGAGGTTCGGGGCTGTGGCTCTCCTGCTCCTTGTCGAATCTGCCATGGCGGAACGATTCGTGAGTTACGCGCCGGTTTCTTTGTCGTTACGAGGAGGGAAAGGCCCATGTGCGGGCAACTCTGTCATGGAATGTCACCAAGGGAGCACAGACAACGCCTCTTCGACGGAGGCATACCAGGCGTTCCCTGTGCTGCGAGCAGAGTTGAACGAGTGCTTGAACGTCGAAAGTTTGTGCATGGCATGCGAGCAACAAGGAAAGACAAACATACTCCCGATCGAGATCCCTCACTTCGGTCGGGTGGTCGTGATGGCGTTCGAATGCGACGAGTGCGGATACAGAAGCAACGAGGTGAAGGAAGCGAGTGAGATTCGCCCCCTAGGCGTTCGATACCTCCTCCACGTGCAGAAGCGAGAGGATCTGAACAGACAGGTGAAGCTGAAGCAAGGAAGCGAGCGAGGGGGGACGGGGGGACGGGGGGACGGAGAAAAAAAGCTGAGAAGAAAGAGCTGAGAGCTGCCGCAGGTCATCAAGTCTTCATTTGCTTCCATCGCCCTCCCTTCTCTCGATTTTGAGATTCCTCCTCCTGCTCAACGAGGCTCTCTCAACACCGTCGAAGGGTTCCTGATGCGAGCTCAAGAAGACTTAAACAAGACGCTGGTGCTACTAGTGACCTTCTCTGCCTCTGACTGGCTTGCTCGCTGCCTCTGACTGGAAAGCAGGCCTTGTACGCTGGTGCGACTGAGGCACAAGACTTGAGCATGAGGGATCAGGTGCTGTGAAGTTGTGAAGTCGGCGGTCGCTCAAGTCTGGCGGGTGCAGATCAGAATAGTCGGCTCGCGTCTTCAAGACCTCTTGGACGGTGAGACGTTCGAGCTGATCCTGCGAGACCCGTCAGGAAATAGGTAGAAATGATGACGATGATGATGATGATGATGATGATGATGATGATGATGATGATGATGATGATGAGGACGATGACCACGAAGAGGAGGAGGAGGAAGAGGAGGAGGAGGACGACGACGACAACAACAACAACAACAACAACAACAACAACGATGACGATGACGATGACGATGACGATGAGGTGGAGGACGATGATAACGACGATGGCGATGATGATGATGACAAGGATGACGAGGATGATGATGATGACGACGACGATATTGATTATGATAGTGGTAGTGGTGGTGATGATAATGATGGTGATGATAAGGAGACCGTGGTTGTTGTGGGTAGTGAACGTAGTGAAGATGACGATGATTCAGCTTCATTGAGAGTATCAATGCCAACGACCCAAGACTTTCTCGTCAAGATTTTGTGAGAAGCAGAGCCGAGGTTGTTTCTCGCTGTCTGTCTTGTCGTTACAACCTGAGTAGGATGCTAGCGTGGGGGTCACAGCAACGGTGCAAGAGCAGGACGACGATCACGAGGATGGTGCTGCTGCTTTTACGTCGGTGACAGAGATTGACGTGCTTCTGTAGCTCGATCGGTTACTCATGTCTCGAACCTCGGGGGGGGAGGTAGTCGACTCGTCAACAACGTTGTGTCCTTCACAGATCGCAAGGTCCTCCCGAGAGTGATGGACGAGAAGGCAAGAGGAAGAGGAGCTTCGAGCTCGTTGCCAGTGACGCCTGACTGTCAGATGATGAGCGATGAATGTCAAGTCGATTGCTTCAAGATGGTCGCTTCCCTTTATCTTTACCTCCCCTCCCCTCCTTCACTCCCATCCCTCCTCCCTTGCTTGTTCTCGCTCCTCTGTTCCCTTGCTTGCTTCTTAGGTAGTGCGGCTGACTTGGCTGATCAGATGTGTCCCTCGTGTAAGTCACCGGAGGAGGAAGAGAAAGTCTACGCAACCTGCATCCCGCACTTCAACAAGGTGAAGCGGATCGAGCAGACAATAGACACATTCTCCTCCTCCTCCTCCTCCTCCTCCTCCTCCTCCTCCTCCTCCTCCTCCTCCTCC